CTGTACCAAGAGCTGTGCTGTACTTTTTGTCTACAAAAAGTACTTGGTTGGGGCTGGGCCCCTTACATGAGTACTGACTGTACCCCCGATGGCTCTCTCTGCCCTGTTCTTCTCTACAGAATGCACACAAAAAACACACCAACATGTTAAGTATATGTTTAATTAACATAATACTCAACTATAAACTTGGTTGGGGCTGGGCCCCTTACATGAGTACTGACTGTACCCCCGATGGCTCTCTCTGCCCTGTTCTTCTCTACAGAATGCACACAAAAAACACACCAACATGTTAAGTATATGTTTAATTAACATAATACTCAACTATAATTCCCCAAATAACACTGCAAACTGTTTAGTATACATATAGGGACATGTTTCACAAAAAAATAGTCTGTTTTGCTGCAGGGAGAGCGATTTAATGTAATTGGTTGTAATGGGCAACAGCTTCACTTCTGTTACCCTTTTTTAGCTCAATTTTCTGTAAAACAGACCAGTTTCTCTTCCCTTTATAAACAGTGGAGAATACACAGGGGGAATAGAAGACAACAGATCCGATCACACCAAAAGTGGGAGGTAGTCACATTATAAAGCGAAAAGTAAAATATGGGGCCAACAGTGAGGAAGAAAGAAATGCCCTCTCATCATAGTGAGGAAAAAATATCGCTAAATCGATATCAGTAGAAGTAAAAAATGCCCCTGCGTTGAAGATGTCACTAAAAAGGAAAAATGCCCCTGAATCAGTGGTGTCACTGGAAAGTTAAAAAAAAATATCCCTGCATCACTGATGTCACTTAGAGAAAAAAATGCCCCTGTGTCACTGGTGTCATTGGTATCACGGGAAGGAAAAAATACCTATACTTCAGTGGTGTCACTGGAAGGATAAAATTAGCCTGTGTCAGTGGTATCACTGGAAGGAAAAAAATTCCCCTTCATCGCTAGTGTTGCTGAAAAGAAAATAATGCTCCTTCATCACTTGTGTCCCTAGAAGGAAATAAATTCCCCTGCTTCACTAGTGTCACTGAAAGGGAAAACAAATGCCACTGTATCAGTGTCAGTGAAAACAAAAAGTGAGGCTGTGTCGGTGTCAGAGGGAGGACAAAATGCTGCTGAATTGGTGGTGACAGTCTGAGGAGGACTGCTATGGAATCTGTGACAGTGGGAAACAGAGGGCAGATGGGAGGCTATGGGAGCAGAAGGGTACATTTATCTATGGGGCCCTGTGTGGCTCTAAAGGGAGGGTAGCTGAGGAGCACTGATGTTTATATTTGGCTCTTTGGGGATTTGAGAGGAAGAGAGGAGCTTCGGGACCACTAGCGGAACTACCAGGGTCGCAATTGCGACCAGGCCCTGGCGTTCCGCCTGTTGGGGGGGGGGCCCAGAGAGGAAGCAGGGGGCCTGAAAGCTTCGTCATGCCCCCCCCTAGTTAGCGCTGCTCCATCCCCCGCCACTCTGCATGTATGAGCGGCTGTGCGGGATAGAGAGGCGCCTCTGTGTGTCACTTGTCTGCCTGGCAGGGCCGCTACCGACAGAGCAGGTGCCGCCAGGCAGCACATTCTTCAGCTGGGACTGGGAGAGGACGGACCCTCTTCACTCGGCCCCTGGCCGCCAAAGACGAGGAAGCTGAGCGGCTGTAGGAGTCAGGTAAGCCTGGTGTGGGGGGATTACTGTATAATCATCATACAGCAATGCAGAATAACACCACATTGATTTGCCATGCGTTCCGGTGCAGGCGATCACACCGTGGTGCCATTGACTTGACTTTAATGCACCGCCACACCCCCCACTACCCCCCGAGTATGAAGTGAGCTGGACGGGTTGCAATCCAGTGTATTCCAGCACTAAATCGGCCGGAACACACTGGAGCTGGTGTGAACTAGCCCTGAAAAAAACAATAACATACTTTTCATTTAATAGAAGAAAAAAAGGGGGGGGCCCTTAATGGTTTCTTGCACCGGGGCCCTGGGGTTTCAGACGTCATAGACATCCTTCTCAGCATAGCACTCACCTGGGAATCAAGGCAGCTTGTCCTTCTTCCCCCTCTCTGGTCATGTAATATGTCTCATGACAAGGAGAGACAGGAAGAAGGGCAGTCTGCCCTCACTTCCTGGCGGGTGCCTGTGCTAAGAAGGGGGTGATCTTCTTTTAGCAGACACCCAGTCTGCCCGCTCTCTTCTACTTTTTGGAGGGGGGAGAAAGTAGAATCCTCCCTCATGCAGTTATCACAGCCCCTGCTCTGTGTTCTGTTCTCCAGCTGTTTGAATGAGAGGAGTGACAGCAGTGTCACTTTTTTCATTCAGGCAAATGGAGAATCCAGTGTCAGAAAGCTCCCAGCACAGTGGGATGACAGAGGGCAGATGGGAGGCTACGGGAGCAGAATGGTAGAAGGTCATTTATATGAACGAGGGGGGAGGTCCCCTCGTTCATATAAATCAGCTGCACTGGGGGTAGGTGCTCCTGCCCCCTTACCCCTTGTCCTGGCCCTCATTTGATGCCATTGAGGGAAAACCATAGACTGTACTATGAGTATGATATTGGCAGTTCTTTTTTGCTGCAATGCATAGAAAAAGAGAGAGATTGCTGAATTTTCAAACACCAATGTTTTGTTAAAGTGACTCATGCCATTCTTCCAACTATCCCATCTAACAGTATCTGTGTATATGTTTTATTTCTCCCTTTCTAATTTTCACAGTTCTCTATCATCCCTAGATAGCTGTTAAAACTTCACTTTATTCACATTAGCTTCCTTCATCCCTGCTTTCCCTATTGGCTGCACTTATTTATACGTTTTTACTAGCAGCCAGAAATTAGCTTCAACCAACTGGGAAATAAAGTCCCTGGCAAATTATGTCATTGTATCCAGTGTAAACAAAAGTTTGATTTCAGTCTGTATAGGCACATGTTTTCACAGTTGCTATCTAGGAATTGCTAGTTTAAACATCATACAAATAATATAAACATTATACAAAATGTATTGTACCTTTCCTTGAGCACACATTGTTCCATCCAAAGGAGGACCTTTTTTTGTTTTGCAAAAATATGGATTATCAGGATGACTGCACCAAAGTTGCTTGCAGGGGTCAAAAGTTCGAAACTAAGGATAAACAAAATGACCAAAATGACCAAGATGTCTTTCAAAACCTTATTAAAAAGATTCTATAACATCAAAGAACAATTTAGGATATCAGATAAAGTTGCTTGGCTCTCTTAGCTGGTATACTGTAAAACTGGTATTTTAAGGTTCCATTCACACATGAGCAGTTTTCCGTGCGTATTTGGTAGGGATGCACCGATATATCGGCCGCTGAAACATATCGGCCGAAAATGGCACTTTTGGTTAAATGCTGAAAGTGCCATTTTTGTGCCGCTACATCAGCGCATCCCTGCTTTCTTCCCTCCCCGCTGGGCGCTGCTCTATGTCCCAGCGGGGAGGAGAAAGTGTGACAGCTGGCCGAGTGCTGTGAGCGGCCGGCGTCTCTCCTCCCACACCGCTCAGCCTCCTATCACAGTCCGGCAGAGCGGTGTGGGGGTGGAGACAGCCCACGATGTCACAGGAGGCTGAGCTTTCGTACCTGCACTGCCCCGCCCAGCCTCCTGTGACAGCGGTCAGGAAGGAGAGCCAATGCAAACACTCAGCAATCGGTGATCGCTGCGTGTTTGTAGATAATTGAGGACATAGCATGTTGACTATATCCTCAATTATGAATAAATGGGAAGTGATCTACATCACCTCCTGTTCATTCATAGTTGTGATTATAGTAAACATACTCTGTCCAGATGCTATCAATGAACAGAAACACTCATAGAGGATTCCTGTTCATTGATAACTGGGGCTGCAGAAAAAGAGATGGAGGACTTTGTGTCCTCCATCTCTTTTTCTATTTTAAAAGGGAAATATCAGGGGTCTGTTTAGACCCCTATTTCCCCGAAGCCCCTGAAAGTAAAGTAAAAAATATTTAATAAAAAATTAATAAAAATAAATATAAAAAATTAAAAAGTGTATAAAAAATTGAAAAAATTAAAAACTTTCGGTTTCGGTCTGACAATTTTTTAAATTTCAGTTTTGTTTCGGTTTTGAAATGTCGGTGCACCTCTAGTATGTTCGGTGCACCTCTAGTATTCGGCTGTAGGAATACGCGCGGAACCGCGCTAAACATAAAAACCAATGCATTGCAATGTGCATTGTTCGGAATATTCTGGTGGCCGTGTGGTATGAAACCATGCGTCCTGCACAATAGTCCAAGTGTGATTTTATGGGCAGATTCTGCACATTCTCAGTGCACTTACTTCTTCTCCTCCCATTCTGGAGGAACAGGGAAAAAAGAAAAGAAAAAACCCCTCCAAATATACACCTCGCTCCTATCGCTCTCATATCTCACTTACTTACTACCTAAAACATTTGGCTCCCACCTGTTTGAGCCTTCACCGACAATGTCGGCATCCTATTCGGGTGGGTGGCCAGAGACTAGACATGTGCGATTCGTTTCGTTACGAATCGAAATTCGTACAAATTTTCCTGATATCATAATGAATGTTCGTAACGTTACGAAAATGTGCCGAAACTAACGAAAATACGTATTTCGTACGAATCCGAATTGAGTTTCGGATACGAATTCCGAAATAATGGATATTACGAAACGAAACAAATTTTTTGACGGCGCACTAGTCTACCAGAGACAATAGCCCAAGCCCACACCGTCACCTCATTCTCTATTTATTCCTATTGGAGGCATTCTCTTTTTACCTATATGTTCTATCCTGGTCTCTCAATCCGAACCCAGTATCTCTTACTTGAATAGAAATGGTGTGTTATGTTCGAGGGAAGTTCTCTTCTTCCCCCTCTATATCTAACCGATACATATCCCACATACAAGCTACACCCCCCTTCTTACTTTCCCCCCATCTAAATTATGTGTCCATTTTGTGACTAATTAATACACAATATATGTGAATTGAGTCTTGCTTTGGTGATATCTATTTAATGTTGAAACCAAAAATACCCGACTCCCCCCCCCCCCCCCCAAACACATACAAGCTACACCCCCCTTCTTACTTTCCCCCCATCTAAATTATGTGTCCATTTTGTGACTAATTAATACACAATATATGTGAATTGAGTCTTGCTTTGGTGATATCTATTTAATGTTGAAACCAAAAACCCCCGACTCCCCCCCCGCCCCCCAAAAAAGGGGGAAAACCCCTGTGTCTAGGTGGTTGGCATCTATCTGTGTCCGTGTCATATTATAATGTATATGCCTTACTCTAGGCTCATCATAGACTCTTATCTGGTGATTGTGACCTTCTAATGATTTATTTTACAACTTCTGTCTACCCGCAATATACTTCATTGTCCTAAGTGAAATATGTGATTATTGAGAAATTTACATTACGCCCTCCTTTGTATAACCCCCCTTCAGCCACCCCCCCATACTTCCCCACACTTTCCTCCTATTCATACCCCACCCCCCTCCCTTATCCCCTCCTTGGGATCTTGTATACCGGAAACATTATCAGTCTTATAGCCCCTAGCCTCTACCTCCCCACCATTATCTCTAATAGTTACTCATATTATATTATTTATTCCAAACATTTCTGTGTTCCTTTGCGGTTGATCAAGTATCTCATCTAAACTCGACCATCTGGGCTAGGAGAGCCGATACCAAGATGTTACAATGTTACAATACTGTCCCAATCATCTTAACCTCAAAACATATATACACTTATTCTCTGTAATACATGATTTCTTTAAGGATAAAGCATTTATCATTACTGATTCCCCCTCTTCTTGGTCGTTGCCGAGCCTGTAGTTATCCAGGGATCCCATTGGGCTACTCTCTTACATGGGGGGGTAGGGGGATCTGGCCAGTTCTCTATCTGCATGAGTGGTAGCCCCATTTGTGTCAAGAAGTGACACAAATGGGGCTACCATGCAGGTCTGGGAATAGAGAAATTCGAGCCCCATTGAAGTCTATATCTACCCGCTCTCTTGATTTTTGCATTATGATTTGTCTCTGTTGGAGCGACTGTAATCTACATATTACATCCTTTGTTCGACCCTGGATTATGGGGCCATATACTCTGTATACTTTGTCTATTTCAATTTGTTCCAATAATGGTTTGTTCCGATATATATTCAAAATACTCTGTACTGTATCCATTAGATTACTCGTCTCAACAGTATCAGGTATCCCCCGCAGGCGGATGTTTTTACCCCTATGGTGATCTTCCAGACCGTCTACATGAGCCCATACACTAGTGAGCTGATTATGCAAGTTCTTTATGCTTATTTGCATTTCGTTTTGTCCATCTATTATGGGCATTAGTTTCTCTAGAACATCAATTCTGTTATGGAAACTTAGTAAATCAGATCTCAAGTCCTCCATACCTGATCTGTGGAGCTCTTCTATGCGTCTGAAACCGCCATCCATGTCCTCTTTTGTTGAGAGTTTTTAGGTACAGATCCAATCTGCTTAACACCGCCTCGTCCATATTCTCTTTTTCGTGCTCCAGCCTGTCTCTTCCAGCCATCATACTCCCAGACTCTTTCACTGTATACCCTCGCGGAGATACTGGGGAGTCCGTTGCACTAGTGACACCGCTGCTCGGCTCTGACCTCTCACACCGGCTCGGTGTCGGTTCTAAATTGTCTCCCCCTCCCAGCGTGAAGGATGGTGACGTGTTACGGCTCGACCCCGTGTCGTCATCCGGGGAGTGTACCATTCACTCTCCGGAAGAAAGCCCCGATGTCTGCGGTTGGGTCCCTGGGTTCAGCTGAGTCCGGTGTTGTCTTCTTCCTTTTCCCGCTTCTGCGACCTCCCATCTGCCAGCCGGGCCAGAAGTTATGGCGGTGCGGTGTGGTAGATCTGCTCAGTTTTCCGCTGTCTCTATCCGACCGCTGTTGAACTCTTCTTTGCCTCTTTATCTCTTAGCTTTTCGGTGAGGTGTGGGAGCTTCAGGCACACGCTGCCTTACTCCGCCCGGGAACTTTTTTTATTGACCAATTAATGAATCATGTATTACATTTGATTAATGTATATCAGTGTGTCACATGCGGCCAGAACAGGGGCAGACTGACAACACATGGGGCTCCCGGGCAATACAAGATTATGGGGCCCCCTTGTGCTCCGCCCATAGCCCCACCCCCAAGCACCGCCTGCATAAATATGCAGTGGCCATATCGACTGCCAGCGTGTTCTGTGCATGCGCACCACCATTTTGGAGTATATTTTGGTAAACACCAAGATGGCAGCGCCCACATTTTCAGGTTCCGCCATCTTGGTGTATACCAATATATACTCCAAAATGGTGACACGCATGCGCAGAACACACTGGCGGTGTGACGATTACCAATTTCTTTGTGCGGTTTTGGATTCGGAGGCAATGGGCCTCCGAATCCGACAGTGCATTAAAATTTGTTTCCTTTGACGAAACAAATAAAAATGTTTTTCATTTTCATTTGTTTTGTCTGAACCAAATTTGTTTGCCCTGCACGTCTATTACAAACCACCCCAAACAATATAATCTGACTAGTATACAGCAGATATTCATAAAACATAACACAACATAAAACTAAACAGGTTGTAAAATCTAAAAAAATATATAAGAAAAGTAAACAGTAGCCCCAACAACTAATCAGATATTTACAGCATGTGAACCCAATCTGCCACTATACACGATACATTTTCTTACCAGTGCCAATAAACTTTAAAACCCAAACAGTCCACACCAGGGGCAGTGATTTCTTCACTCAATAAAACACACGCATAAAGGTGGCCATACACTGTACAACAATCGCAAGACCTTAGTCTTGTGATGGTTGTAAAGTGATTAAAAAAACATACGATCTGCCCATCTTGGACAGGCAATCTTGGACGCCCCTGAGGGGCAGGCTTCCGATGACTGCAATGCTGAACAGGCAGTGTGCGCGTGCGCACACCGGCCCGTTCGGCATTTGTCTCCCGAGCACCGTTCAAACCAGCCGAAAATGGTACGATTTTCGGCTGGTTTTCTAGCGTGCTCCTTAGACAAAAGACGTGCGACCGTACAGTAGAAACGGCCGCACGTCTTCGTTCACACTGCTCGATTCTCGTACGA